CAGTCACTTTTGTGGTTATTAAACTCCATAGTAGTTAGGGCAAACCTAATAACGAACGATCTCGGGGAAAATGTCGTCTAAACGTGTGTTGTTTGTTTTGTTATTTTTGAGTGAAATCTATAATACATTTTGTTAGTTTTTTTTATTTTTATGTACAGAAGATTCATGGAGAAAAATATCTCAAAATGATGCATGAAAATAAAGATAAATAGAAGACTGTGAAGCGAGGTGCAAATGAAGATGGCACAGTCTCAACTCCACCTACAAAACAGTAAAAATTTGATTTTTCATCTGTATCACATAGAAAGTTAAATTACTTAATTGCTATTTTTGTTATTCTCGACATGCAGCTACTTGCTATTGTAGAAGGAGAAGGCTTTTTAGACAATTGATACAAGGTGTGAATCCTAAAAGCCATGTGATGTGTACAAAAACACTAAAAGGTATGCTGGACATGCGGTTCAACAACATGAAACAGATTGTTAAAGAAAAATGGAAAGAACGCGAATATGTTTGTACAACTGCTGACATTTGGACACAACAGGCTCGCACTTACATTGATGTGACTTGCCACTGGATTGATCCTGGTGATTTTAAGCGTAGTAGCGTTGCACTTGCCTTTCGTCGTTTCTGTGGAACACATTCATATGACAGAATTGAAGAGTTATTTCTGGCGGAAGTGAATCGAATCAATAGCCTCACAACTTTTAAAGAGGATAAAAAGTCAACATTATGCACAAGTCGAGTTTTTATGGTTTCCATGAACCCAACCCTGAATCATGATAGGGAGCAACTAAAGAAGTAAGTGCGGTTAACTTATCAACCAATCTCAATGTTGTGTATTATAAAATAAAAGCAGTTTAGTTATAAAATACATTTCAATTTTGAATTATTGAATAAAACTTATGTCTCTATTATATTCTATATAACAATATTTAAAAACTTTAATTAACGTTATTCAGGTATTCTACGGTTGCAAAATTGTTTCTAAAATACAACACAACTGTGCCATCATCGGCTCCCGTTGAACGTTTGTTCAGTCACGCTGGACTAATTCTTACACCAAAAAAAATAGACTGTGTGATGATTCATTTGAGACTAATTTGTTGTTGCTAAAAAAAACAAACTGAACTGTGTGTGACTGAATAAATAAACTTTTTGAAAATAAAGTGTCTGAAGTGTATGTAAAATGTGGAAAAACTGCTCAATGCCGACTGAATGGAACTACAGCATGACATTTCGGCTAAACAAAGGCAAAGGTGATCCATTGAATTGTTCATCATATCGGGGTATACGTCTGTTAGAACACTCCCTGAAAATTTTCGAGAAAATCATTGAGATAAGATTAACGTCGTGCATCACAATCAGAAATTATCAATTTGGTTTCCTAGCGGGAAAATCAACAATTAATGCAATTTACATCCTTCGTACGGTACATTCACTTTGTCCATTCAAACAAATTCCTGTATTTGTTTATGTGACATAGGCCGCAGTTTTGAATCGTTCTTCGCCAAAACATTTTCACAAAGTAAATATTTCCCTATATAAATCAGCTTGCACTGATGATGATTCATTCGGAATCGAAATATGGCCTTATTTGCAGCATGAATTCGAAAAATAAGTTTATTTTGAATTTTAATAAACTAAGAGTCCTCCAAAAAAATTTAGTGAAAAAAATCGAAAAAACGAACTACATACGTATTAACGCCAAAACATTATTCGGTAGAATTTATAGAATATTGTATATATATATATATATATGTATATAAATGTATATATATATATATATATATATATATATATATATATATATATATTGGTAATAGACCATAATTTTTACAATATTCTATAAATTCTACAATTCTACCGAATGTTTGGCGTTAATATGTTTGTAGTTCGTTTTTTCAATTTTTCTCACTAAAGTTTTTTGGTGAACGTTTAGTTTATTAAAATTCAAAATAAACTTATTTTCCGAATTCATGCTGCAAATAAGGCCATATTTCGATTCCGAATGAATCATCATCAGTGCTTTTTGATGTTTATATAGGGAAATATTTACTTTGTCAAAATGAACTTAAATGGAAATTGACTTTGTCAAAATAAACTTAGATGGAAATTAGGTGTCAGGTTTCTTTATTGGCTGGCCATCTTCTTTGGTCTCCTTTTCTTCATCGATAGCATCATATTCTTCTTTGTCACCATTTAAAATGCTAGTTTTTATTACTTTTTTGTTTTCATTGTTGATTAAGCGCCGGGTTGGAAGTGAGGTTGTCATTTTTTGTTGTATATTTATTTTTGGTTTATTGATGTCAATTAGGACTGCTTCTGCAATTTTAAGATGCGTGTAGTTGCTGTTCTGGTATATTACTTTGGTGTTGCTGTCGAGGATTTCACGGCTAATAGTGATTGAGTGTGTTGAGTCCAAATGAGATTTGATAGCACCACTCTGTTTATGCATCGTAAGCCTTCTAGTCAGTGAGGTGTATATATATATATATATATATATATATATACATCGATGTCCTAGTTATGACATTAAACTGACCCTCACTGCCTGTGAGTGATGTTGGATCTATATACCTATATATATATATATATATATATATATATATATATATATATATATAGATATATATAGGTATATATATGAGGTATGTATATATATATATATATATATATATATATATATATATATATATATATATATATATATACATCGATGTCCTAGTTATGACATTAAACTGACCCTCACTGCCTGTGAGTGATGTTGGATCATCAAAGGCTAGGCCCACCGCTTATAACTGTGGTTGCGTAAGGAAGGACGTCCTGCGTAAAAATTAGCCAAATAAATTACTTATGATGGAATGGCGTCGAGGGGTATTTCGGTTTCATCATAGGTAGCCAAACGGCAACCCCCGATCTCGGGGAAGATGTCGTCTAAACGTGTGTTGTTGTTGTTGTATATATATACATCGCTCAATGTTGGACCATTGACGGCCGCAGCATGGAAATCGCAGAAATGCTCGGGCGTAGAAGGATTGACATCTGCTGCCTTCAGGAGACCCGATGGAAATCGAATGGTGTCTGTCATATCAACTCAGAAAAAAAATATGAACTATTCTGGAATGATCAAAAGACGGCCAAAAATAGTGTTGGAATTTTTGTCAAAAAACTGCCAGCCCAAGAAGTACTGGATATTAACAGGATCAACTCACGTCTCATGTGGATCAAGATTCTCCTAGAAAAGCAAATAATGACTATTTTTCTGCATACGCACCACAGACAGGCGAATCAGAAGAGATGAAAAATTGACTTCTGGGCTGCGTTCTCTGACACCATCTCAACAACACCAAAATCTGAAACAATCCTGATTGGAGGCGATCTCAATGGCCACGTTGGAGAGAAAACTAATGGTTTTGACAACGTGCATGGCGGTTTTGGCTATGGAGAACGGAATGAAGATGGCAACCGCATCCTTGAGTTTGCTGAAAGTCATGTGTTTTGTTTATTGAACACACATTTTTGGAAAAAGGTTGGAACATCTCATAACATACAAAAGTGGACCATCAGATCCCTTGTGGCAGGCCTGGTTGTCAAACTATCAAAATATAAGTCTAAACAAATGCCTCGGAAAATCAAAACGTGGAAGCTGAAAAGCAATATTCATCGAGAAAAATTTCAACAGATTGTCGCAACACAGTTAGACCACCAATTGCAAGCCAGTACAGATTGGAGTACATACAAAACCGTTTTGATGAACGCTGCAACTACAGTTTGTGGGAAAACTGGTACAAAACGTCAGCATGAACGTGACACTTGGTGGTGGAATGACAGTGTACAAAATGCAATAGCTGAAAAAAAAGCTGCATACAAGCAATGGCAAGAATCAAAGTCTGTTGGTGACCACAAAATTTTCCGTGAGAAGAACAACTATGCAGGACGTCAAGTCGCACTGGTTCATCTTGTTCAAGAACCATCTCATTTTTGTCGTTTTTGATACATGAGGCATCAACTATGTCTTTTTTCGTACGCTTTGCTTGTTTTGCTATACAATACAGAGATTTCATTTGTTCACCTTTGCTTTTAATGAGCCACTCTGCACTGATCTGTCCGAGCCAGTGCAACTTGACGTCTTGCATAGTTGTTCTTCTCACGGAAAATTTTATGGTCATCAACAGACTTTGATTTTTGCCATTGCTTGTATGCAGCTTTTTTTTCAGCTATTGCATTTTGTACACTGTCATTCCACCACCAAGTGTCCCGTTCATGCTGGCGTTTTGTAACAGTTTTCCCACAAACTGTAGTTGCAGCGTTTATCAAAACGGTTTTGTTTGTATTCCAATCTGTACTGGATTGCGATTGGTGGTCTAACTGTGTGGCGACAATCTATTGAAATTTTTCTTGATGAATATTGCTTTTCAGCTTCCACGTTTTAATTTTCAGAGGCATTTGTTTAGACTTATGTTTTGACAGTTTGACAACTAGGTCTGCCACACGAAGTCTATGTTGGGCGACACATGTTTCGCCAGGTATAACTTTGACATTTTTGAATAGCCTTCGGTGCTGTTGCTTGACAGCGAAGAAATCAATTTGCGTGGCTGATGGTGTACTTTTGTATGTTATGAGACTACTTTTTAAAATGTGTATTCAATAAACAAAACCCGTGACTTCTCTCTAACATGGCCATAGAGATCGCCTCCAATCAGGATTGTTTCAGATTTTGGTATTGTTGAGATGGCAATAAAAAAATAAAATAAAAATAAAAAAATAAATAAAAATAAATAAATAAAAATGACTATGGTTTGGTTTTGTTAAAACATGTCAATTTCATTTTTTTCACATTTGAAATCAAAGCACTTGTACTTAAACTAAAGTACTTGTACTCAGAAAATTTAATTTGTGGCACTTTTATGTACAAGAAGTACTTAAAACATCAAACAGCTTGTAGACTTTTAAACTTGAGACACCCATCTAGAAAGCTATCTGGGCAATATAATACTCTACTTTAGTTGAATTTTAATATGTTTACAACAAAATGTAATGAATAAAGCAATTGAAACACAAACATTAGATTTTGACTTTGCAGGGTTGGTAGAAGGAGATGCATCACCACTTCTTTGAGGGGGCTTCGAATACAAATCTAGAACTTGATGACAGATATCTGTGCAATGCATGGAGTGAGCACAAAGCAATAAAACTTAAATTATCCAAAATAACAAAATTATCAAAGCCAACCTTCTAACAAATCCAGAGAAACATCTTCAACAAAATAGTCGTACCACTTTCCTCTGAATCCAAGTGGCTTTCCATGCCAATCCGTGATCTCAAATTTACTGAGTCTGCTAGCCAAATACATGAGAGCAACGGCGATTACTTCAGGCTCCCATTGTAGTGATAAGGTTGTGCAGAGGCTACGCAAAATGAATTATTACGATCAACACCATCAGTTTATTAAAAAATAAAGCTTATTTTATTTCATCAAGTTATTTGTATCTATTATTTGTTGATTGGCTGGTTTCAATTTGTCATAGAAGAAGTTTATATTAAGAATATTAACTATTCGGGAATTAAAATCAGTCATTATACAAATAAAACTTAGTTGAAAATAATGTATAAGGATTTCACTTATCAAAAAAATGGTTTGTATACTTTAATGCAATGCAACAACCAAGTAGGATATCAGAGTCGAATGAAAAAATTTCCTACTCAAACTCCGATTCCTTGGTTGAAATATTCCCGAATCCGGACAAAAAATTTCGACTCTAACTTCTGTTTCGGGTTCCGACTCTCAAGCCTAGAACACGCTAGTGTGGCGCAATTCAGGTCTCTGAGACATATCTTAGATTTTCTACGACATATGATTTCTATAGACCAATCTTAGTCTACGAGCCTGTTGCGTCTGCGAGAGCAAAAATTGCGCGTCTAAATTTTTATGATTTAAAATGGGAAATTTTATACAATTTTGTAAAAAAAAATTGTTTTAAATGTTTAAAAGTGTTTTACATTTTTTTAATCGATTTTTAATTTTTTTAATTTTATTTTAATATTTTATTTGATGCTTTTAATATTTTTTAATATTGTCAAATAAAATTTTAGTTTATTTAGTTTTTATTCAAAGAATTATTAAAAAAAATTTTATTTATAAAATATTAATATTTTGAAGCCGGTATTTGGAATTTTATTCCATTCCATTTCGTTTATAGTTAGACAACAGAAAATCTCAGAACCAATCATATTATTAAAAACACGTCCACTTTATTCAAATTACTTCTTAAAATCTTTTTTGGACATTAATAAATTGTTGGCAATAAAATCATAAACACCAAACCTTAAAGGCAGACTCGATAAACCATAATTTAAACATTAAAATTTTGGATGCTTAATAAAAACCTGTCGTTAATAAAAGTCCAAGACATTTGTACCAGTCTCTGGATTTTACCTTTATCGCCTAAAAATACGATAATATTATCAATGATTAAAAAATATGTAACTATCAACAAAAAAAATTAAATAACCTTTTATGAGTTTGGCAAACTTTAACAAAAATGAATAGGGATGTTCTATTATCAAATCAAATTTAATGGTTTGTAGGAGTATTCTTTCTAGCGTCATAATTTCTTCCTAACCAAAGAAATTAAAATAAATATTTTTAAAATGTTAAAAATAATGATATTACCGTTAGTAATGACAACCATCAAACACTTGTGTACACCTGTGTACATGAGAGACGAATTTTCTGATGACCACGAGCGCAACTTGCCAACCCTTATCTTAACGCACAAACTTGAAAGAAGATATAATTAACCCTTCAGCCTTTAGAGGTGATCTCTAGAATTGATAAATATATCTGTCTTCATATACAATGCAATGTAATTCAAGGTCTTAACGAAAATTGAAGTTTCAACTTAAGATTCACTATCTGCTGTTTTTACCAAAAATTTGTCTGTAGAGTTATGAATCCAAAAAAGATCATAAACTAAACTTAAGATACATTTATTATTGAGCTATTTTGATCCTGATTCGAAGAATATGAAAAAACAAAATGAATAAGACCGATACATAAGTATAGTCTTTTCCAAACCCAGCCTGTTCTTCTGTCAAAAATTGATCAAACTGTGCTTGCAGTCTTTTCTGCAATATTATCATTTATATTAACAATGCATTATTCAACAATGCAGTGGTCCAGTGCTGGTCTGTGTTAGTTTTCCTTTTTTTGATATGATGACAACCATCTTCGGCCCGATTTCGGTTACATAAATTCTGAATTTTTTTTGCCATGAGTTCTCCTTCAGCTTATATGAATTTAAGTTCTTCACCTACTTTATCCTCTCCTGGAATTTTCCATGGTTTTAGTTGATGGATGAGTGCTTTAACTTCTTCAAACAATATTGTACCTTAAATATCATTTATTGTGTCAGTAACTAATTGAAAAGAGTTTGGAACATAATGAAAAACTAATCATGTATTTTGTAGATTTTGTTCAAGCCTATGACTCCATATGGAAAGGGAGCATAGATGATCCGAGAAGGATATGGAATTGACGAAAAAATAATAAGAATAGTAAAAGGTTTATATAGCGGTCAAGATTAGCGGTGAAGAAACTGAATGGTTTAAAGTTGAAACGGGTTTCAGAAAAGGATGAATTCTGTCACCGACACTTTTTAATATAGTTTTTTAGATTATATACTACTAAAAGGGGAACGATTATATAACGGTTGGGTGACATCTTTTTCCCCATGCTGTCAGGATTTGAAAGATGCAGATAATACTTGTCTAACAGCTGACTCATTTGATAAATTAAAATTTTTTGTGGAATATCTGGCATTAATATAGAGGCAAGGAGATGCCATTTATTCCAGGCTGCACTTATGCGTGCTCGAACGGCAGCTTCAGTTGTTCCAATACAATCCAGAACACCCCCTAGATATTGAAACGATGTGACTTTCTCTACCTTAATGGCTTCAAAAACATTGCTATTTCGAATTTGTTGTTGTGGATTGATGCAAGCAGGACAAACAAAATTGGACACTTTAGATAAAGTACCAATTATTTTTGAACGTTTGTGACACCACTAGTTACACTGCTGACACTTGATTGAATTGTTACCTACACCAGCTTTACAAACTGAACAGGGCTATCGTCCAGTAGCTGTGGATTGGATGGGTTCATCAGTGTTCATTGCTTTGGTTTTGCTGATGTTGACTTTGAATCCATGATCGGCGAGTCTGGTGTTCCAGACCTTCAAAGCATCTGCTCAGAAGTGGCTGTTAAAACGATATCATCAGCATATACTAGATTCCAAATGTCACCAGTGCGTATCGGTTTTGTGATTTCTTCCATCACAGTTATAAATAACAGTGGACTGAGAATCGAGCCTTGGTGAACTCCAACGCCGATGTCAAATGCATCTGTGTTTCCAACCGTTGTGCTGACAAGAGTCTTAGTATTCGTATACATTTCCATCATATGTCGAACAAGATATTCTGGAATGAGTTGTCGACGTAGACTCCACCTGATTGCTTCATGGGGAACTCGATCAAATGCTTTTTCAAGGTCTACAAAAATGTGTGATAGTTGTTGACGCTTTGCAAGGTACTTCTCTTGCAGTTGCCGAAGGATGTGAATTGCATCAATTGTTGATTTCCCGGCTAGGAAACCAAATTGATAATTTCCGATTGTGATGCACGACGTTAATCTTCTCTCAATGATTTTTTCGACAATTTTCAGGGAGTGTTCTAACAGACGTATACCCCGATATGATTCAATGGATCACCTTTGCCTTTGTATAGCGGAACTGTCATGCTATAGCTTCCTTCAGTCGGCATTGAGCAATTTCTCCAGACTTCACGGCAAAGTTGTAGTAACGTTTGGATACCTGCAGTACCAAATGCTTTGATAATGTCATTTGTGAGTCCAAAGGACCTGCTGCCTTTCCACTCTTCAAAGCTTTCAGAGCTTCAGTACGCTCCTCTACAGTGATGTCTGGAATCGGACCTTCGATGGGTGGAGCGTCAAAGTTGACATTGATGGGATTTGTTTCATTTAACAGACAGTTGAAGTATTCTTTCCACTGTAGCTTGATCTCATCTTGTTCAAGAACCATCTCATTTTTGTCGTTTTTGATACATGAAGCATCGACTATGTCTTTTTTCGTACGCTTTGCTTGTTTTGCTATACGATACAGATGTATTTCAAACTATTGTTGAAAATGACGGGAAGCCTAGTTTGCGATGCTGGAAGATTCATGAAGAGATTTTATAAATTCGATTTTTTAAATTCGAAAGAAAAGGCAATTATGTTATATGCCGGCATGTTTGGTAGCACATGATGTACCTACGTGAGCAGACATTTTCAATTATGAATATCATTAAATTAAATTCGAGGGACACACTAAATTTCAGCAAGTTATATTAAGCGAGATATATCAAATTTAGTAAGTAAATTCTCCTCATAGAATATCATCTACAGTCAATGTCTTAACTTTCCAGTGGCCCTTCCAAAAAAACGTCGAGCATCACTACTAATATTCATTTGATAAATTATTTTTTTCAATTGCTATAAAACCGTAATAATCTAATAACATTTTAAATAAGTTATAAAAATTAAAAAAATTAATAAGTAAGTTAACAGTGAAGTCATGTGAAATTCTAAAAGTTAGCAAATGGGACAAAATTGTTTTATGCTTATTATTCAAAATTTCTCGTGTAACGCATATGCCTCAAAAAATAATAATAAACAAACCCTTGGATCTTCTTTGAATGTAGCAAGCTGGGCATCAGTTAACATGCTCTTTGTAACCTTTATCAGATCTTTGCATTTTTTTGGAGTTTCCTCAACTTTTCCAGCCAAAAACAAGCAACAGGCGGCTGTAACCTGAAAAACAAAAAAATATTTCATTATTTTATCCTAATCTACTCAACTTATTCTTCAAAGCCGATCATAAAAACATTTGGTATGAATCAGTTAAGAATGGCTCATCTAAGATTTAACAAAACATGGCATCATTGAGTGGGTTCAAACACCAAAAAATCCTTGCCTATCCTATGCAATGTATAAGATGCATTTTGGGTTTGATGTTAACAGCTCTAAAATAAACGAAAGAGAATAGTAAAAAAATCCAACAAACACATCTTGGGAATTCGATGAAAGAATGAAACATATAGAATCTGTGGAACAACACAACTCCGGTTGCACAGGTGTCATATTTTCTTGAAAAAATAAAATTAATTTAATTTTTAAAAGCTTTAAAATTATCAATGATTCCAATAAATATTAAGGTATATAAATAGTAAAATAACAAAAAAAATAACTGTTTAATAAAATCATTGGCCTTCACTGAATCATTTATATTTTTCTGCAATCAATCAATCAATCAATCAATTAGCTTATAAAGCGCTATTTCCGCGATGTTTAACAGCGCTCCTCGATGAATTTTGAAAACAGATGGGTCTTGAGATCCGCTCTGAACTTCGCAAGTGATGGAGAAGTAGTCAGAGAAGTAAGTAAAGAGTTCTAGAAAGAAAGACCAGAAAAAGCAAAAGCAGATTTGGCAAGAAAAAACGAGAACAAGAAGACGATCGTAAACCAGGGCGTTTAGGTTCAATTAATATATCTGATAAATACTTAAGAAATAATTTAAATTGAGACTTATACATAAATCTCAATTTAAATTATTTCTTAAGTATTTATCAGATATATTAAGATAATATTGAGACTTATACATAAATGTCCTGGTTATGACATTAAACTGACCCTCACTGCCTTGTGAGTGATGTTGGATCATCAAAGGCTAGGCCCACCGCTTATAACTGTGGTTGCGTAAGGAAGGGTGTCCTGCGTAAAAATTAGCCAAATAAATTACTTATGATGATGACAGAAGTGACAATGGCCCTCAGTATCCGGCAGAAGAGGGTGCGAAGAATCCCCGGAGACCCAGTCCATGGGGTTGCGGTGCAAGGCCCTGTGGATGGTCTGGCTACTGGCACCCCACTCTATAGTGTTGCGGTGCAAGGCACTATGGATGGAAGGATTACTTGTAGATCAAGGGGTTGGAGGTTTGGTACCTGGAATGTAGGCACGTTGACAGGAAGGAGTTTGGAAGTGGTGGAGAAGTTGCAGAGGAGAATGGTTGACGTGGCTGCATTACAGGAGATCAGATGGAAGAGAGAGGGTACAAGGTTTGTGGGGGCTAAAGGTGGAAGGTATAAGTTGTGGTGGAAGGGGGATAATGGTACGGGAGGAGTTGGTGTGATGGTAAGAGAAGAGTTGGTGGAGAAGGTGTTGGAAGTGAGGCGGAAAAGCAATGGTGTAATTGTGGTGGTGATGGTGTTTGGAAAGGTAATAGTGAGGGTAATATCAGGATATGCTCCGCAACAAAGTAGGAAGGAAGAGGAGAAGGATAGGTTTTATGATGATGTTTCTGACAAGATTGGGCAAGCGGGGTTGGATGAGTTTGTGGTGTTGTTGGGTGATTTGAATGGTCATGTGGGGGCGGATGCAGACGGATATGAAGGTGTACATGGGGGATGGGGATATGGTATACGGAATGAGGAAGGGCGGAATGTTGGAGTTGGCGGATGCACATAGCATGGTGGTGGGGAATACCTGGTTTACAAGGGAACCAGCACGACTAATTACATATAGATCAGGGGAGCATAGGTCAATGATAGATTATATATTGATAAGGGCGAAGCATAGAAAGTATGTAAGGAATGTGAAGGCGATACTTGGTATGTTGCAGCATAGTATGATTGTGATGGATGTGGCATCAAAAGAAATGGGGAGGAGGAAGAAGGATAAGTTTGTGGCAAAAAGAAAGACATGGAAGTTACAGGATGCAGAGGTGAGGAAGGCATTTGAAGTGAAGGTGGCTGAAAGTTGGGAGAGTGGTAAGGATGGAGATGTTTGGGAGAGATATAGGGACTGTGTGTTGACTACGGCAGATAAAGTATGTGGATGGACGAAAGGAAAATGTAGGCATGGTGAGACGTGGTGGTGGGATGAAGATATAAGAAAGGTTTTGGAGATCAAGAAGGAGAGGTTTAGGGTGTGGAAAAGGGACATGACGGGGGAAGCGGAGTTTGAGTACAGGAAGGCTAAGAAGGTTGCAAAACGGGCAGTGGCAACTGCAATGACGAAAGCATCAGATAGGTTAATGAGGGAAATGGAATTTGATGTGAGTTCGAGGAAAATGTTCAAAGTAGCACAGCAGTCAATGAGGGATATGAAAGATGTTATAGGGAATGGATATGTTTGGGATGGATCTAGCAAGTTGTGCATAGATGAGAAGGAAAAAGCTCAGGTGTGGAAAGCCCATATGGAAAGGTTGATGAATGAAGAAAATGAGTGGGATGGAGATGTGGAATCCGCGGTCACACACGGACTAATAGAAAAGGTGACGATGGAGGAAGTAGAGAAAGCAGTTAGAGAAATGAAACTAGGTAAGGCGACAGGGGTTTCGGAAGTGGCAGCGGAACATATAAAGGCGAGTGGGGTGATAGGAATTGAAGTTATGATGAGAATTGCTAACAGTATGTTGGATGATGAAGGTATACCTGAGGATTGGCGACATAGTGTGCTGGTGCCGTTGTATAAGGGCAAAGGAGATGTGAGAGATTGTGGGTCATATAGGGGTGTGAAATTGCTAGAGCATGGAATGAAGGTAGTGGAGAGGGTGCTTGAGAGAAGGTTGAGAAATATGGTGACAGTTAATGAAATGCAGTGTGGGTTTATGCCTGGTAGGGGAACGGTGGATGCGTTGTTCATAGTGAAAATATTGCAGAATTATAGAAAGAAGAAACGAAGATTGTACATGTGTTTTGTGGATCTAGAAAAGGCGACCGCGACTGGGATGAAGAGAGCAGGTGGAGAAGGACAAAGTGAAAGCGGGGTTGCGTGATACTGAGGCGAGTGACAGATGTGAATGGCGTCGAGGGGTATTTCGGTTTCATCATAGGTAGCCAAACAGCAACCAAAATGTCGTCTAAACGTGTGTTGTTGTTGTTTGTTTTGAGACTTATACATAAACGTGCAAATTTTAAAAATTATTCTATATTTTATAGGTAGCCAGTGCAAGAGAACAAGATATGGAGATATATGAGAAAAGAAAGGGTAATTGCAAATTTTAATAGTTAAAAAATATTGTTAATATTTATCTCATTTCTAATATTTAATTAATTATATTAATAATTAATATTTTTTTCATTATGACATTTTTTTTATTACTAGCTCATAATATAATTACTGGTTAAATTAAATGTGATATATATATATATATATATATATATATATATAAATATATTTATATATATATATGCAAACTCTTGACGAATATGTTCGACCGTTGAAAGTGAGTAAAAGCCGTTATATTTATTCTAGTTATATGATGCTATATATAAAAATATAAAATAAAAAAAATTGATAGCAGGTTTTACATTATATTCTTTCTGATTATTTAACTGTTTTTTCCTAATAAAAATAAGAGTAAAACAAAATATAAAAAAAGTAATAAATCACTGAACAAAATTAAAAACTGAATAAAAAACAAAATAAGTCTGTCGAAAACCATGTTCAGGCAAACCTACACATTTGCATGTGCAGATGAGCTAGAGCAAAAACCTATTTTGTGTTTGTATAGTTTTTTTTAACATTAACAAACACCATTCCAGATTTCTGATTTAGGTAAAAATTTAAATATAAATTTGATAAAAAAACAAATTAAAAAATACTCACAATCCCATTTTTGCACCTGCATCTATAATGAACCTGGCCCCATCTCTTCTGTATCTACTTTCTGTATCTGGAGACATGCCCTGTCTCACTGAAGGAGTGTTCAGCAAGTCCTTCTTCTCATAGTACCAACAAGGCATTTTATAATTTATATTTATTTTATTTTTTCTGAAATAAACAAATGGTTCCTTCTATCTTTCAGTTTTGTTTAATGTTATGTAATGTTATTTACGTATATATGACACTATAATATATGTTAATCATCAACTTAATTATATATATTAATACATGTTTATTGTTTAGCAATTTGTTTTGTTCATGATGGTCCAGCCAGATAGAACAATACGGACAATAGAGAATTGAATCATAACAAAAACAAGAGACAAGAGACAAATAGAAAAAAATTAACAGACAACTTATATACAATACAACAACATATAACCTAACATGAACCTGAAGATTTAATCAAAAGATCTCAACCAAAAGCTTGACCCAAGACACTATTAGTTTTGCTTATTAGAGACAGTAATAAAAAGTAATCAAATTTTAAAAGTAAATGCCGATAACAAATGCAAAACGCAATTTATATGGTTTTAGTTTTAATACTTGGAGTAGTTTATTCAATATAAAAATAGTGCAGCTGAAAATATATTAAAATAAACAAATATAAATATCTATATATAATACAAAATAAATATATATATATATATATATAATAATATAATAAATATATATAATATATATAATAATATATATAATATATATATAATATAAATATAAATATTTATATTAAAAATAT